CTGGAAAGTTTTCTTCCAGAATTTCGTGGACTAGATTATCAATGCCCTTATGAGTTTCTTCACCTTCTGGGATACCAATTACTCAGATGTTTAGGCATTTCATGGTATTTAGTATTTCTCGTATATTATCCTCAGTTTTATTGGCTGTTTTCTCAGTGCTTTTGATAATTTTTTTCTAGTCAGAGGTTTTGTCTTCTGCTCCAAGATTTGATCTTCTGCATAGTCTAACTTGCTTTTAGTACTTTTGAGGGCAGTTTTATTTATTTATAGCCTTCATATCTAACAGTTCCATTTGATTCTGTTTTATGGAGTCCAATTCTTTCATATCATGGAAGGACTTCCTCATCTCTTGGAGCTCAACATCTCTTTTCTCTTGCATCTCAGGGTTTTGGAAGGCAGCTGTGCTCACCACTATACCACCAACGCACTCATAGGATTTTGTTACCATAAATGTTCTAAATTCTTTTTCTGACATTTTGGTAATATTCTCTCTTTTTTTTTCCTACTTGGAGATGAGTTACAGTGTTCCCTTGCTGGAGATGTATTACTTGATTCTGTGATCCTTGAGGTTCTTCTCCGATTTTTTAGTCATTTAGTAACGTGTTCACTTCTGGCCCATTTGTTGGAGGATTCTGTGACTGTGAGCTCATGTGTTTTCCTTATTGTGAAATAATTTGGTGCTATTTTCTCCCTGCTACAGTGTCCTCCAGTAAGGGAAACACAGGAGGAGTTTTGCAATTAGATTTATGAAGGGGAATTTCATTCTTTTTGCAACCACTACAATGAGGTGCAAAGAATTCTCTAAAACTCACAATGTTCAGATGGTTAGCTACTACGCAACTAGTTTTTTCTAGGCAGTGGGTAAGGGCTGAGCTATAAAACAGGAAAGTAACGTAAAAGAAAAAGAGAGTAGGAAATAGAAATAGGAAGAAAAGGCAAAGAAAAAAGAAGGAAAGAACTAGAACAAAAGAAAGAGGAAAAATTAATCACACTGCAGAAAATAAAATTGGAATAAAAACGTAAAACCGCATAGCACAAAAGCGTGCTTTGAGAAGGCACCTCCACAGGCAGAGGTGCCTAGATGCTTTCTGTCCTAGGTGAGGGAAGAAGAGACAAATTAGCAAGAGAAAGGCACAAACAAGGCTGAAAGCAGTTTTATTAAAAAGAGGAAAGAAAGTTAGAAGGGACAGAGAAGAACAAGAGGGAGAGAGATACTTGCCTAGCTGACTAGCACTGGGGTCTGAAGGGGGGCCCTGGCTTGTGGGGCAGGCGGAGGGCTTCACGGCCACAAAGCTGAACCCAGAGTGCCAACACAGGCAGAGGTGGAGGTGCTTTCCGTCCTGACTAGCACCGGGGTCTGGGAGGCGGGCCCTCGAGATGAGACATTTTAATCATAAAGCATTGATTTCTATGTTCTCTTCCATTCTGGCCTTGCTGAGATCCAAAGTGACCCAACTCTGCATGGAAAGGATCTACTATCTCATGGCTGGAGGAGGGAGAACCTATTTCTTCAACATTCTCTTTGATATTGCCCCCAAATGCCAAATTAGCCATATAGAGAAGAATAATTTACATCAACAAAGAGGCAAACAAAATGGAATGAAAACGTCGTTTTTACTCATCTAACATTCTATGCATTTATTTTCAAACATGTATTATTAGATTATTGGGAAAGTCATGATGATTTTTTGCATAGAAAAATACGTCATGACTTTCCTGATAACATATTAAATAAGTTTTAAACATTAATATTTATGATTTTGGAGAAAGTTCCTTCAATGTCATAAAAGTCCAGCAGGTGATGGGCAGGTTAAGGTGGTCGAATCCCACATGGCCGACTGCACTGTCTGAGTCCCAGATCCACTGGCTTGACAATCACATCGGGCGCATGTGCGTGAGTACCCCAAATTCTAAGAGAATGGAGCAGACGGGAATGTGTTGCGGCCATCCCCCATGGGTGCTTTCTCACTTTCTCTCTCTTTCGCTGTCTCTATGGCAAGCGCGTGTGCTCTATAGTGGAAACTAAAGAAAAAAAATAGAAAAACAATCCTCATCGCCTATTTGACTTTTTCAAAGTCCACATGTGACCACTGATAAAGCCGGAGATCTCTGAATGGGACATCGGCAAAGCGATCTTTCTCCTGGTGAAACCGCCCACGGTGTCAAACCTGGAGTGTGTAAGGAGGGAACTTCCTCCACATGCTGAAGTCTCCATTGCGCAGAAGCTTCACTTCTAGCTCCTTCAGAGCCACATGATGGTGCTATAACACAAGCAAAATGTTACTTTATCCTGAATTAAGATCCAGTTGCTTCTTATCTTGCGTCTATAAAAATAGTAGCAGAGAAAGGGAGAGTTGTCTGACTTTGCTAATGAAGGTACCTACGGATGAAATGACAATCCTTGTAGTTGGATGAAGAAGCAGGGTCTGCCAAGGATTGTTACAATTTCCCTTCTGTCTGTAAGGAAAACCCCGGTTTGTTGTTGTGGGGAGAGGAACAGGAGGGGCCTGAGCTCTGCAGCCAGCAACGACCGGCTCCCCCTCTCCCCCCATTAGGTAAAGTCTTCTTACAAGCAAAATGAGAAATAGTGATTGACTGTTTAAAAAAATAATAATTAGAATTATAATAATAATGATTGGGAAAAACATTGAAAAGATATTGAATGATGAAGTGGGGAGATTAATGTCTCTGTATTGACTGACATGCATGGCATTCCCTTCTGAAAAAGCAATGTAATACACTGTAAAGTTATATGTAATCCAATGTAACATAAAGAAGATTATGATGATAATAAAAATTAAAAAGTTACTTTAAAAAACTGTCTTGATAAGTAAGAGGATCTGCTGGCAGTGGGCCTGCCTTCTTTTATGGAATCTCTTTGAATGGATGTGAGTAGCCTTTGCTGTCTTTTGACTTGTTTTGCGACACCTTCTCATCCAGAGTATTCACTCATTTATAAAATCAGCTTAACTCCAAAGGCTTCTAAAATAATGACTGATGAGATAATCTCTAGGATCTTTTTTAACTTGAAATTTTGTGACAGTAAGTATAAGACATGACCCCTATTTTCAATAAATGTATTTTCAATCAATCAGAAATTTATTTGGAATATAAAGGATCTAGAGCATTGAACCGAGAATCTAGGACACTGTTTTTGTGATTACATGTATTTTGAAATGAAGAATGCTTATATCAAAAAAAAAAAAAGAAAGAAAGAAAAAGAAAAAAAAAAGACAAACTTAGAAGTGCTTATCTCGCGATGCAGCTGATTTGAGAGAGGTGTGGGAAGCCACAGCTGCAGGTAGGCTGTGCTCCCAGGGGCTGGGTGCTGGGAGACCAGGTGTCCAGGGAAGCTGTGATCGTGTGCTGCTCAGCTTAAAGGATCAGGGTGATTTCACTTCTGAGCCACAGCAGGAGACAGTGCAACTTTCTCTCTGTCTCTGTCTCTGTCCTGACTTGTTTGTGTACAGAAAGTTGGTAAGAAGAGTACACTGTTTTAGTTAAACTAGTTTTTTTCTTGATTGTAACACTACTATATGCTCATTGTAGAAAATGTGGAAAAATACAGGAGAAAGTAGAAAGTAGAGAATAAAATAAATCCATAGTGCTGTTAGATAGAGCTAATGTCAGTTAACTGGTTAGGGTATTATATAAAACTGAGATCGGGCCAGCTGGCGTGTGGTTGAGGCTGCGGGATCCCACATGACCAACTGCGTGGTTCGAGTCCCAGACCCAACCACTCTAAGAGTGCACCGGGCACGTGTGCGTGCATGCCCAAAATCCCAAGAGGAGGATAGAGAAGGGATTACAGTGTGGCCATCCCCCTGGAGGGTGATTTCTCACTTTCCCTCTTACTCTCTCTCTCTAGCAAGCTCATACACCCTATGGCAAACCCCAAAGAAAAAGAAATTTAGATCATTGTATAACATCACATTTGTATTCTGTCTTTTTACTTAGCATTAGATCATAAGCACATTCCCCTGCCACTAGGAAATTCTTATAAATACCTTTTAATTATTACTTAATATTACATCATAGAGATGTACTACAGTGAACTTTCGGGTAATTTTGAGACTTTTTGGTAATTTAAAAATATTTCTAATTTCTCATCATTTAGATAGTGCCGAGTTAAACATCTGACAGAATGCAAAAATGCTTATGTGTCTCCTAAAAATTATTTGTTGGGACATCTAAGGTAGCCAATCCCACCTGCTCACAGCAGTTGAAATCCTGGCCCTGGAGGCTTGAAAGACACTCCAGGCATGTGTACAGTGCATGCCCCAAATCCTGACAGGGTGGGGAAATGGAAGAAAGGGGATTGCAGCATGAACACACCCCACTCAGGAGGTTCTCGCCCTCTCTCTCTCTCTCTCTCTCTCTCTCTCTGTCTCTCTCTCTCTCTCTCATGAGCATATGCACCATCCAGGAAAAAAATAAAAATGATTTCTTTAGAATACAAGCTAAGAAGAGAAATTTGCAAGTCAAAGATGACAGGTTATAAACATTTGAAGACTCTTTAGATGGATTGATGATTGACAGACAAAAAAATTTTTTGATTTACACTTTGCCAACCGTGTAGGCGAGAACTTATCCATACACACTCCTATCCGGATGTTCCATGTTTTCAATGTCTGCCAGTTTAAAACGCACACAAAGACCTTTGCTTTTTGTCTACTTTTCACGCTGTAGTCCCTTCTGCTGTTCTTCCTTTCAGGATTTTGCGTCTGCACATGAATACCTGTTGCGTTCTGTAAGCCACCAGGTCCTGTACTCAAACCGTTTGGCTGGCCATGGGGAATCCAGCTACCCCTTGATCACCAAGCTATGAGCCAGCACAAGAATTTCACTTTGATTTGCATTTAAAACAGAAAAAAAAAAAGGTAGCATCTTCCAAATATGAGAAGAGAGTCGTATTTAGAAAAAGAAAGAAATGCAAGAGCAGCCCCTGCTTCCTCCAGCCAGGGCCACCAGCTGGGGTCTCACCTCCTCTCTCCCCACAGGGCTCCAAGGGGGAGGGGCGGCACGCCTGGACCCTGAAGCACTTCAAGAAGCCAACCTACTGCAACTTCTGCCACACCATGCTCATGGGGGTCCGGAAACAAGGCCTGTGCTGCGTTTGTGAGTAAACGCCCTTCACCCCACCCCAGGCACGCACGCTCTGCCTTGCAGGGTGGCTGAGCCATTCCAGAAAAACCTCGGTATTTCCATTTCTTAGCGTGAGGGACCACCATGTTGTTCCAACAGCGGGGAATAAAGCAAGGCCTGTAAGTCCTATTTTTATTCTACCCAAGTCGAATGGGTGAGTCTTACAACTCTTAGAGTCCTGTCATGGACCACTGACTGCTTTGAAAAAGTATCAAAGTTTGCACATAATTAAAAGCATCTTATACTCATTTTAGTTGGGTATTCTAGTCAATGTCTATTTGGGCTGTATTTAGAGGCCTTCTTTTTTTTTTTAAATTAATAAGCAACATAGTCCATATTCTGGAAATACAATGGGGATGAAAACTATACTTTTGTTTTCATTTAAATAATGTGGTTAGTAAAATCAGAGTGAATAGGAGAAAAAAACCACAAGTGAGAGCCAGAAGTAAAGGAAAGGGAAACTGGAAACGAGAACAGGAGGAAGAGATTGGAGGAGAGGAGCGAAAAGAGGTGAAGAAGGGACTGTGAGGAGAGAAGGGTCCAGTGAAGCTGTGCAGGGGTCAGAGCATGTGGGCCACACAGAGTCTTGCCAACCACCTCCGAATACGGAGAGCAAACGCTCACCTGAACCGTCAGAGGCTGGGAGCGGTTGTAGGAAGGTCCCTCGGGTACAGGCAAGTCACCAGCCCCCTCGGGTACAGGCAAGTCACCAGCGGTTCACCTAATGGGACGTGTAAGCTAGGCAGCAAGTGCCTCGGCCACAAAGTCGTCTCAGCAGAGCTGGGCCCCCGTCCACCAGGAGCAAGCAGCAGCAGGCTGGCAATAGAGGGGTCGTCCAGCCTTCCCAGCCCTCCGCACATTTAGTAGACCCCTCTCATTCCTGGGAAGTCCAGGCCTGAGGCCTCTGCCGTCTGCGTAAGAGTAGTGGTGGCAGCAGCAGGAACTGGGGAATAGGTGCTTTGACCCAGACACATGGTGCTCAGCAGAGGTGATTTCTTTTAATGCTGCAAAATCCCTGCAAGGAGAAAGAGAGGACATTTTCTTTTCATTTCACAGAAAACTCTGCATTGCAGAGAGCTTAAAGCAATTGACTCAAGATCATAATATTGAATAAATTGTTTCAAATGGCAAAGCCAAAGATCAGGCCCAGACTTGCCGTACTCCAAAGACCCCTGGCTTTCCAGCCCTCTCAACAACCACCTGATACACAACACCATGGCTTTGGCAGAGCAGGGAGGAGACCCCCACAACTCCCCTTCTGTGGAAAGTTCTTTCTGGAGGTGTTTGCCTGAAATTGCCCACAGCGTGCTGGGGTGGCAGAGCAGAAGCACAACTGGGAGACGACAAAGGGACCCTCTTCTCCGGGCCGGTTAGAGACTGGAATTTCCATTAGCGAGGCCAGCTTACTATGTCCCCTGCCCTCATCAGCCACCCAGAGGGAGGAACAGACCTTGGCTGGGGCGGGAGGGTGGCTGGACCTTTCCTAGGTGATCACTCAATGCATTTTCCTTGTTTCTTATTTTTTCCTTTCAGACTGTAAATACACCGTCCACGAACGCTGTGTATCCAAAAACATTCCAGGGTGTGTCAAAACGTACTCAAAAATCAAAAGGGGCAGCGAGGTTGGTGACACCTATCACCCTGTCCGACTGCATGCCACATTGAGGCAGCATGGCCGTCACCACAGATTCCTGGGCAGGAAGGGGCTTTACCCATCCGTTCTCTGCCTTGAGGACCACCCTTAAACCATCCCATTCAGCCATCAGGCCATCCAGCATCTCCTCGGCGCCTACCAGGTGCCAGGTACCATGCCAGGTCCGCAGGTTACAGGAGGTGTTCGCCAGGCTGCTCAGGAGCTGCAGTCTAGGGAGAGGCACGACAAAGCCATGGGATGACAGGGCTCTGTGGAGCACTCTGCTCACGCACGAGGGAGAAAGCAGGGCCGTGAAAAGGGAAGCCTTTTGAGTTGAGCCTTGAAGTCAAGTCGGGAGGACTTCATGAGGCATGCAGCCAGACTCCAGGCAGAGCCTCGCGTGGAAAGGCAGGGAGACGGCTTATTCTGAGACCCACACTTAGTCTGGTGTGGCTGGACAGAGGCTGCTTCAGGGACGGGATGGGATGTTCTCAGAAAGTGGTGAGATCCAGCCTGGAGAAGGTCTTGTAGGCCCACTAGAAAGTCAGAGGCATTTTCTATGCAAGCAAGGGGCCCCTGACGGGCTTCCAGCGCAAGGAGAAAGGACGGGGTTGACACGTTAGATTCATCTCTCTGAGAAGAGTATAGGAGAGGAAAAGCTCTGCCGATGACTGAGGCCTGGGCGGATCTACACTCACTCGCTGTGGGCTGGTCTGGGCTGCCTGGGCTGTCCCCCGGCCATGCTGGCTAGCAGCCATCTCGACCGCCACACTGGCCAAGGGTGAGAAGATAGAGGGAGAGTCTGCGAGGTGACGCAGAGGCACCATCATCAACGTGCTGATGGGGATGCCGAGGATGAGAGCGGGAAGAGTTAGGGGGTGGTTTCCAGGTTTCTGACGTGCCTATTCAGGGTGCCATTCACTGAGTCTGGAGATCAGTTTACTGACCCTCCTGAAAGCTAGCAGGGGAAGGGCACCCGGTCTCTGCAGAGAGCAGAGTTCATTGAGGACCCTGAATCAGGAGATGATTAGCAGATGGGAGGGAGACCCAGGCTTTCTGCAGAAGGACTTCTGAGAGAGAAGGAAGCCTGCAAAAACGTGTGTGCATGCCCCATGAGACACTGCATGGCCTCTTGTCTCCTGCTCTGCCCCACCCCATTCACACCCTCCTCCATGTCCATGCCTTCACCAGCACACACGTGTACCTCTAGGACTCAAGTCCCAAGCCTGCACACAGAGAACAGAGCATGACCACGGAGGGGTCAGCCGGGCACACTCACAGCCTTCTGAGCCTGCAGGGGTGACCAAAGTCTTTCACTGTATCTTCAGATCCCATAGAAGAGGGAGGAGGCAATGCTTTGTGAGGGAGGTAGCCTTAGACTCGGGGTCAGACCTGCCTGAATCCGTGCTTGCCACTCACCAGCCCCAGAACCTAGGGCCAGTCACGCAGCCTCCTTGAAGCCTCGAGCTTTTCCTCTGCAAAAGGGAAATAATAATAATCTTGGAGCACACTCAGTGTGGCCATGCAGGTGACAAATCGATTAACAAATAGTCCTTCTGCATGGCAGAGATGAGAGGCTACAAACATGACCCCTCCAGAGCAATCCTTTCACCCAAACATTGCAGGGAGGCAGTAAGCAACCTAACTGCTAAGTAATGGAAAACATGTATTCCTATTTAATACAACCACGGATGGCATCATTTGCATATTTTCTGTGTCTTTAATATGGTGTTATAGTCTAGCACTTCAGGTAGAGACCCACATTCTCCCAGCATCCATATTTACTCCCTCTGTTGTTCAGGTTATCTTGGTGGACATTTCCAGGGGGGGAGAACTGAGGGCTCTGGCTCCTAGGTAGTGGTGTCACTTTAAAGTGCACTTACACACACACACACACACACACACACACACTCCCACCTGCCTCCCAAGCTCCCAGCCTGCTCTGGTGGCATTTCCTGGCCAGGGAGCAGATCCTGCTGGCTCTTCAGGAAACAGGTGTGAGAGGCTCCAGAGGAGTCTCGCTCATTTCTCTGGACTTTTCGTCTACCTTCCCACTAGAGGTCTTCCCGATCTCAGATGGACATCGCAATCGCGGAGTGCTTTCCAGCACTCTGAGGGCAGCCGCACCGCGGGCGCTAATTTACTTGAGCTGGTGCATGGGCTGTCCATTAGGACTCCTAATAACCCCCGTTCATCCTGATGGGAATTACCCAACTGCAAAGGGCCAGTTCCACGCCAGGGAGGCCCTTCCAAGGGCGCTATCTCCTTGCAATCCCCCTTCCTCCAATGCCCCCTGAGGTGCCACTTTCTACAGACGAGGGACCCAAGACTCAGAAAGGCTCAGCAACTGGCAGCGGTGGCCTCTCTGTGAAGTGGAAGATCAGTGACTCCACCCACTTTTGCCAGAAGCCCCAGACCTCCCTGTTCCCCTGCATGTCACTGACTTCCCACAGGGGGCGCATGCGAGCACATCACGCTGCAGGGGTTCCGTGGGCCCCAGGCCTCCCGGTTCCCCTGCATGTCACTGCCTTCCAACAGGGGGCGCATGCGAGCACATCACGCTGCAGGGGTTCCGTGCGCACAGGTGGAATGCCAGAGAAGCTGCGCAGAGGCTTGCCTGCCAGGGTCAGTGAGCTGTTTACAATGCGGGCGGAGCAGTTTTTCATCTACCGTGACAGGCATGACGGCAGTTACTGCAGGGAGGGGCCATGTCAAAGTGACCAGTGTCCAGTAAGCATCCCCTAAATAGGAAACAGCCCCCTGATTTTCTCCCCACCCTGTGCTCCTCCCAGACCTTCTCAGGCCCAGGGCCTTGGGGGCGGGTCTCAGCCTTCCTGGCCCCCTTCGCTTCCTCCCACAGGTGATGCAGCACGCGTGGGTGGAAGGGAACTCCTCCGTCAAGTGTGACCGGTGCCACAAAAGTATCAAGTGCTACCAGAGTGTCACCGCGCGGCACTGCGTATGGTGCCGGATGACGGTGGGTTGGTGCCCGGGATGGCCCTGCTTCTTTCCAGTGTGGTGTTTTGCTCCAGCTGCAGCCAGAAGCAGTGAGCATCCCACCAGAGAGCGTGAGCAGGGCCAGGAAGCGTGGCCAGAAGGGCCCAGAGCCCCCATTCAGTCGCACGCGACCTATAGCAAAAAACCTCTCAAAAAAAAAAAGAAGCCCACGTGCCTGGCATGGTAGACCATGGACATCCCTCGCCCAGTGCCATCAGGGGCTGGGAACACTGAGCGTGGAAGAGGAGCTAGACACCAGAGTGCTGGCTCCACAGGGCATCCGAGGAAAGAACCCCTGCCCTGAAGGCACAGTAGCCCAGCAGCCCCGGTGCCTGGGCCAGAGCTCTGGGCCCGCAGCCAGCAGGAGCCCCAGCCCTGCACAGTGGGAGCGCCACTCTCAGCTGCCTGTCAAAGAAAACACAGTGCCCCATCTTATCGCCATGACCAGGAATCACACTCAGAAAGGAGGTGTCTCCACACCCGATGGCAGAACTCAGATACAGAGACGAGCTGTGGGGGCGACGTCAGCCTCCCAGGAGCTTGTTCTACCCGCCAGAGTCTCCGAGCCTGGGGAGCAGGTGGCCCCTGGGGCTCTGCACACAGGCACGTCACATCAGAGGGCCGCAGGCAGGCTCATGGCCGTTTTGCTCCAGGAGCCATGGGCAGCTCCTGGTCTCCTCTGCTGCCCATGGCAGGCCTCGTACCCCGACCACACACGCACACGTGCACGTGCGCACACACGTGCACACACACTCAGTGATAGCGACCAGGCCAGCCATGCATCAGGACTTGGGGCAGCCCTAGACAGGCCACCTCCCCTCCACACCTCTGACCCTCATACCTGACGTCCCCTTAATTACTTCCACTCACTCCCACCTTCCTTTCTTCCATCAGTGTCACCGCAAGTGTGAGTTGTCCACACTGTGCGACGGCGGGGAGCTGAGAGACCATATTTTGCTGCCTACCTCCATATGCCCCATCACCCGGGTAAGTACTCCTGCCCGGTCAGGGCTTCAGCTTCTCCGAACCCCACCTCAGATGCAGGCAGTGTTCAGACATCCACAGCCCCCCCGGGGGGGGGGGGTCCCCAGTGATGCACAGAGTTTCTGTGCTCAGTAGGCGTCTGAAAGGGGTCAGTGTGACGCCAGCCAGTTCGTGAGGAAAAATCTCTGGCCGATCTGGCTCCAACTGCTGGTCACCCGGATGCTCTGAAAGGGGCGTTCAAGGAAAGCAAGTTCCTTGTAAGCACTTCGCAGACGGCACAGACCCAGGAAACACGCCCCCAGCCTCCCTCATCCTGTCAACCTCTCCCCTGCGTCGACACATAGGTCTCCCTCTGCCACGTGGGGGTCCGGCCGGGTGTCTCGGGCCTGTTTGACATGAAAGCAGCAAACTTCATCTCCTCTTCTCCCCATCTGAAACTCCCTCATCTCCGGTGTTGAAGACTCCTCTTTCAAACCAGGGGCCGCACTCTTTCATGGTCTCCTCTCTCGTCATAAAAAGGCTGCCAAGGCCCACCGATTCCTCGCCTCTCATGCCTGACTTAGCCAGGCCCTTCGTTCTCATTACAAACCTAAGAAAAACCACCAGTTTGGAATCGCACTGGGCAGTACCTGCTGAGTCCGTATAGACTTCACCACCCGATGGTTCCCCTGTGTATCTGCTTGACAAATACCAGCTGTCATTTCACCAAGAAACGTGTTCCTGACCACCTCATTCATAAAGTAAAGAACTGGAAACAGGCTCGACGGCCATGAATCGAGTACACTAACAGATGGCGTCACGTGGTGTCTGTACAATGGAAGACATGGCAATCGGAAAGGACCAACTGCACTTCCGTTTAAGAACGTGGAAAGTCTCAGGCATGCTGCTGGACAAGTGAAACTGGGGTCAAAATTAAAAAGGGCCTATTCTAGGATTCCATTTACATGAAGTCCGAAAGCCAAGCAAATCAATATGGTGTCCAGAGTCGCAAAAGTTAATGCTTACGCTTCAGCGTCGAACTATACTGTGTTAACTGTGCAATGCAGGTTTGAACATCTTACTATACGTGAGATAAGCCTCAATAAAGTAAATAAGAAACATTTTAAAAACAAACAAAACAGGATAAATGAAACAAAGAAAAATTACTTAATCTCATGTTACCGGCTGAGCAGAGTAGCCAAGTCTCAGGGCTCAAGCTTCTAAATGAGCACATTCGATTCCTGCCAGTTTCAATCCACCCCTTCCCCCACCCTCCTTGACAGTGTCTTCAAGTTCATGTCAGAGCAGTCGATGACAAAAGGTCGTGGTGTCTTACTGAAATTTTTTTTTTTTTGGAGAGGTTTCCGCCATAGGGCGTGTGCGCTCGCCAGACAGAGAGAGACAGAGAGACAGAAAGCGAGAAATCACCCCCCAAGGGGGATGGTCACGCCGTAATCCCTTCTCCTCCATTCTCCTCTTGGGATCTTGGGCATGCACGCACACGTGCCCGGCGTGAGTTTTAAGCCACCGGGTCCAGGATGCGAACCGCGGTCGACTATGTGGGAGTCCAGCGACACAGCCGTTACGCTAACTACTGGTTCCCTCTTACTGAAATTCCTAGCGGTGCTTTTTTTTTTTTTTTTTTGATCCAAGGCCCATGTTGCAAAACTCCTTCCCACACTACCCTGGCTTTTTCACTTCTTTCTCTCTTTTTTTACATTATTTATTTTTCCTTTTTTTTTCCTTTCCCCATCATAGAGCATGTGTGCATGCATTTGAGAGAGGAAAAATAAAGAAAAAGAAAAAGAGAGCGAAAGAAGCATCGTGCGTAGGGTGCGGCCGCACTCCCATCCCCTCCTCTGGCCCTCCAGCCAGCCACACTCCGCGGCGTGCCCAGCCCGCTTCAGGCTGCCAGGGCAGGGGGTTGGAAACACTGTGCCTTGGAGCTGGCCTGGTCTCTTTCTTCCTGTGTCTCAGTTCTCTCGTTTTTATCTGATCTATGTCTTTGTATTAGGCCTTTTTATGTTCAAAAGATGCTTACTTCCGTCTCTCCTCACAGGACAGGCAAGGTGGAAACCCTGATGGCAGCGGGTCAGCCAAAGGGGACCTTGTCATGCAGGTACCTAGTGCCCCTGGCCCACGGCTCCTTCTGAGTCAGCCCAAGGTCGAGGTGGGGAGGCTGGGGTTCGGGTTCTAAAGGAGTGTGTCAATGCTCGCCTTCTCATCTGACCGTTCTATCACACAGGGGCCTCTTTTGGCCTCTGGCGTTACCTCTGACCACCACACTGTAGGCAAGTGACGAGAAGGGGGCTTGGCTGACCCTGTTTCTGGCCTAATGGACTTCATCACCTTTTTAAGAAACAAGTCACATAAAACTTCAAAATGAAAACCTGCAAAATACTAACAAAAATGTGGCCTAAAAATAGCAGGTTTTCCAAGGGGTGAGGAGGGAAAGAACAAGAAAATTAAGAGACAGCAGCAGGATGGGGCTAGCCTAAAAAAGCCTCGAATGCACGTGAGGACACTTGGGTTTGTCCTCTGGACAGTGAGCGCCATAAGGCTTTGAGCAGGTGCAGCATGCCTGGTGTGGCACCCTGGGAAGGAACTGCACGGAGGAGGCGAGCAGGACTTACCTGGGGCAGGACAGGCACGAGGAGAGCGGAGAGCAGCTTTAACCAAAACAGGGCCAGGAGAGAGGGCCGGTGCCGTGGGGAGAGAGGCTGGCTCGGGTCTGGGTCCTGTCGGTCTGTACTGACGATGAGGCGGCCAGTGGAAGGTATCCACTGGATACTGAGAAATAGGGGCCGAGGCTCAGGAGGGGGGTGGAGGCTGGAAATGTGGGTTTGGACGGTGCCGGGGTACAAGCACGGTTTGCTCCGTGAGCAGGGTCTTCTCCACGGCGTGTGTCCAGGCGGCCATGCCGCTGGCAGTGGCCTCCCACAGAGGACGCCTGTGTTGGGGCGCAGTGCACACCACTGCAGAATGATCTGAAGCTGCAAACCCACTACCCCCTCTGAGCCCAACCACCACCCTCATCGGCATGGACGTGACTTAAAAGCCGCTCAGCTGCTGCCCCTTAGGAAGCTGCCAGAGGGCAAAGGCTGCCTCCACGGCCGCCTCTCCTCTGAGC